AAGGAAGATGGAGGCAGAGGAGCTGGCCCAGTGGCTCAGGGACCGAGGGGAATAGACGGACGGGAGCAGGCTGGGCGCCACTGGGCCGTCCACCATCACACCTGCTGCCGAGGAGCATGTAGCCTGGGGGCCGGCTCCTCCCGCCGCTGGAGCCTCCGTTTCCTCACCTGCAAAATGGGAGCAGGAGTTCTTCGTCAGGGACCTCACCACGAAGCACAGAGAAGTGTCTGTCCGGTGCTGAGGTCGCGCTGGAAGTTAGAAGAACACAGCATGTGTGTGACAGGGAGGGCAGGACCATGGCAGCCCAGCTCAGTCCCAGGGCAGGGGTGGGGCTGTGAGGGTCCGAGCACTTTGGCTGGGGAATGACTGTGTCTGGGCTCCAACCCCTCTTCCTGGTCCCTCCCCCCTTCCCCCCCGCTCACTCCTGTGAGCCGATTCTTGGCTATGGAGTGGAAAACAAACATGTTTTTCATTTCCCCCCCCCCTTTTATCTTCCAGATTAAGGATTTGAATAATGGGCTTTGGAAGCAAACAAACCTGGCATGGAATTCCAGAAATTTACTATGAATTTTTTTTTTTTAAGGGCAAAGGGCTAACCATGTTTATCTCACAGGTTGCTTTTAAAAATAGCTTTCTTGAAGTGCAAGATTCACTTGTGCAACCACCCGTGTTAAGTGTACAATTCAGTGACCTTAGTGAGTGCAGAGCCGTGCGGCCATCCTCACAGAACAATTTTATTTTATTCATTTTTTATTTATTACAGAGAGGAGGGAGAGGAGGAGGGAGTTAGAAACATCAATGAGAGAGAAACATCAATCAGCTGCCTCCTGCACACCCCCTACTGGGGATGTGCCTGCAACCAAGGTACGTACCCTTGACCAGAATCGAACCTGGGACCCTTCAGTCCACAGGCCGATGCTCTATCCACTGAGCCAAACCAGTTAGGGCAAAACAGAACAATTTTGGAAACGTTTCATCTCCCCCCCAGGTACTCCTCATACCAGCCACTGTCCCTCCCCATCCTCACCCTAAACCCCAAGTAGTACTCACCTATTTCCTGTCTCTATGGATCTGCCCTTTTCTGGACATTTCCTGTGAGTGGAATAATGCAATGTGTGATCTTCAGTGTCTGACTTCTCTCTGTAGCATCACATTTTTTAAAAATATATTTTATTGATTTTTTTACAGAGAGGAAGGGAGAGGGACAGAGAGTTAGAAACATCGATCAGCTGCCTCCTGCACACTCCTCACCGGGAATGTGCCCACACAATGTACATGCCCTTGGCTGGAATCGAACCTGGGACCCTTCAATCTGCAGGCCGATGCTCTATCCACTGAGCCAAACCGGTTTCGGCTGTAGCATCACATTTTGAGACTGACCCTGCTGTGGCCTGTGGCGGTGCTTCGCCCCTTTTTATTGCTCAGTAGTGTTCCGCTGATGGGTGGGTCACATGTGGTCTCTGTTCACCAGTCAGTTAATAGACATTTGAGTGTCCACAGTGTATTTTAAGGGTTAAAAAAGATACTGTACATAAGATGATGAGATCAGTAAATGTCAGACAATTTTATTTATTTAAAAATATATATATGTTTTAAATACAACTTTTATTAATTTCAGAGAGGAAGGAAGAGGGAGAGATAAAAACATCCATGATGAGAGAGAATCATTGATTAGCTACCTCCTGCATGCTCCCCACTGGGGATCAAGCACTCAACCTGGGCATGTGCCTTTGACTGGAATCGAACCTGAGACCCTTCAGTCCACAGGCCAACGCTCTATCCACTGAGCCAAATTGGCTGGGGCTTAAAATATATTTTTATTGATTTCAGAGGGAGAGATAGAAATGTCAATGATGAGAAACATCAATGATCGGCTGCCTCCTGCACGCACCACACTGGGAATGGAGCCACAACCTGGGCATGGGTCCTGACTGGGAATCGAACCGTGACCTCCTGATTCATAGGTTGACACTCAACCACTGAGCTACGCCGGCCAGGCAACGTCAGGCAATTTTAAATAGAGGAAGAAGAGAAAGAAAAGTCTTTGCCGGCTTACCCAGGCCCAGTATTCACTTCTCACACCACCACTCTGGGGTGGGCAGGGTTTCTGCTTTATGGAGGAGGACATCGTGGCTGGAGAGGGGCCTGATTTGTCTGTGGTCACTCCCAGTAAGTGTGCAGCTGGGGCTGAGCCTGGGGAGCTGGCCACGGCCCTGCAGAGGGGCCAGGACCTGCCACTGCCTTCAGAGCTGGGATTCACACAGGCCTGGGGCCTCAGTCCCCAGCCAGCACCCACCTCCGCCCACAGGGCCTGCTGCTGCACTTAGCTACCCCCCTCCCCCCAACACACACACACACACACACACACACACACCCCTGGCATCTCCAGGTGAGTCACGCCTACTGGCAGGTGCTGCTTCACAGGTGTTGCATCAGTGACCCGCTAGGATTCTCAGGCAGCCCTTGGATGTTAGCGCCAAGGTTCAGAGAGGTTCAGAAACTCGCCAGAGGTCACACAGTGCGTGTGCGAGTGGTGGAGCCCAAATTCCAGTGTCTGCAGCTGTCTGATTCCGCGGGCCATCCTCCCCCTCTCCCTCTGCTCTCTGCCTTGCAGAGGCTGGAGCTCCACATCTGGAGCTCCACATCTGCCTCCCAAATGACCCACCCAGGAGGGAAGGCACAGGCACGGGCCCAGGGACACTGCGGCAAGGGAAGAGGGACTCGAGGGGGTAGGCGCAGGCCTGGCGGGCCTGGCTGGCCTCTTCCCTCCAGCGGCTCCTCGCTCAGAGGCCATCCCCAGGGTGGCAGGGTGCTGAGCCGCCCTCCTCCCTCCCGCTGCTCCTGGGAGACAATGTGCTTCGCATTAGGCTGGCACCGGGTCTTGCAAAACCACAGGTCTAATTGCAAAGGTTTGGGGGTGTGAGTAACCGCGCATCTCGTGTGAAGGGGAGAGCCGCCAGGCCTCTCCCTTCCTGGGGTGACCCCTCGCTGTGCCCTGTCCTCACCGAGTGCCAGCCCAGAGGGGCAGGGAGCAGGCTCCAGGGAGGAGCCCATCAGAGTTAGCGCAGGGGCTGGTGGGGCTGAGGCCTGGTCACACTGCCTTCCTCTGTGTCCTTCGGTCCCTCTGGGGATGGAAGAAGCAGCCAGCCCTCTGAAGGCAGGGCCGGGGCCCCTCAGCTCAGGCTCCCGGCACCAGGCTCCCTCGCTCAGCCTTTCCCCATGCCCAGCGGGAGGACTACGGGCAGCGGAGGAGCTGGGGTGGTGGCACCTGCCTGGCTGCAGCTGGGTTCACGGTGGAGAAGCTGTGTGATGAGCCTGTAACCGAGTCAGGCCCACGGGAGCCTCTGAGGATGCCGGTTTCCTGCCCACCAGCCGGGCTGTCTGGGTGACTGAGAGGAGCTGAGATGCCGCCTCCTCAAAAGTTCCAGGATCTGCCGAAACCGGTTTGGCTCAGTGGACAGAGCATTGGCCTACAGACTGAAAGGTCCCAGGTTTGATTCTGGTCAAGGGCATGTACTTTGGTTGTGGGCACATCCCCAGTAGCAAGAGGCAGCTGATCGATGATTCTCTCTCATCGATGTTTCTAACTCTCTATCCCTCGCTCTTCCTCTCTGTACAAAATCAATAAAGTATATTAAAAAAAAAAAAAAGTCCCAGGTTCCTCTGAGAGGCTGAGCCAGGCAGGTGGGGCTGCCCAGGACAGGGCAGGGTGTGAATGCCAAGCTCCCTGCCACTTTCCATTGTGCACAGACGCACCATCATAGCCGCATATGGGACCCTCACTCACGTGCACGCACTCACGCACTCACAGACGCCCTCTGCCCAGACACACAGATGTCTGTCCTTCCAGTCCCACACGCACCGCATGTACTAACACACATGGACAGACACCAGTGCAGGCACTTACACTGAAACCACTTCCGGGGCCACCCTTGGGCACGCACACGTCCGTAAGCTCACTCAGATGTGCACGCTGGGTCTGTGTAGACACACTCAGGCATGTATGTCCCCGTTCTCAGGGCAGGAACCCCAGGGTCCCCATGCCCAAGGGACCTTGCAAGCAGCGCCTAGCCCAGCCCCCTCCTGCAGGCCCTCCCCTGCGGCTGCAGGATCGCCCAGGCGAGGCCCGCTGTTGGCCCTGGCTCCAAGGTCAAGGAGATCCCAACACGTCTGACCAAAGGCAGATGGACCTTGTGGATCTGGTCCTGTGGGAACCAGCTGCCATCACACAAAACCTCAGGTGCTGGAGCTCCAGGCTGTCTCTGAAAGGGCCAGGCTGTCTCTGAAAGGGCAGGGGCTCTGGGGAGGGGTGGGCCGGGTAGGAGGACTCACAGCAGCCCTGACACTTTGTCCTGTGCACACCGAGAACATTCGTTTTACTTGTTTCCTTAAACAAAAGGAGGGGCAAGAGGCCCAGGCCTCTGTCCCTGTGATGCCCTCAGCAGACAGGGAGATGGTGAGCAGACAGGGTGAGGCCCACGTGGGACAGGTCAGGAAACCTGAGCAGGATGCCGGTCTGGCCTCTCGTCTGCGTCTGCGCAGAATGGAAGGGAGGAGTGGCGTCCTGGGCTTTGGGGGAAGGGAGAGGAAAGGGTCACGTGGGAGGCCCCACCCTGTCCACCGCCAGAAGGCCAGAATGAGCACCTTGAGAATGAGCTGGACCAAGACGTGCCTCTGTTGGGGCCTGAGGCCTGAGCTCCAGGTCACCGGGGCTGCATCAGGTCACGGTTCCTGGAGGGCAGCAGGTAGCTCTGTGTATTGTAACTAACCCTCTGCCTCCCTCACTAGCTGGCGATCTTATTTTATGTCATTCCTTCATCCACTCAATTACGTCACTAGATACATACCCTGGGGCCATTAATTACCTTCTCTAGGAGATGGGGAATAATAATACCTTCCTACAGGATGGCAAGATCCAACCTTATTCTATGCAAAGGTCACAGAGCACCACCCGGCACAGAGTAAGGTCCACGTAAACGTTAGCTTTAAAAAACATAGAGCCGAAACCGGTTTGGCTCAATGGATAGAGCATCGGCTTGGGGACTGAAGGGTCCCGGGTTCGATTCCGGTCAAGGGCATGTACCTTGGTTGCGGGCATATCCCCAGTAGGGGGTGTGCAAGAGGCAGCTGATCGATGATAGTCTCTTATCGATGTTTCTAGCTCTCTCTCCTCTCTCTCCCTTCCTCTCTTTTCAAAATCAATAAAATATATTTAAAAAAAAAATAGAGCCACATGCCGGACACTAACGGCACTGGGGACCCCGCAGTGAGTAAGGTGGACACAATGGAGCTCCAAGTCTTAGGGGCTGGGGGAGAGGATGGGGTGTCATCCTTGCTCAAGTAATCACAATACTGTGGGGGAGGTAGGATCTCCGGGGAAGGACCAGGCAGGGGTCCTCACGCGGGCAGGGGACTGGGAGGGGCCTCTGGAGGCAGGGACATCTGAGGTGAGACCCGAAGGTCTCTTATCCGCACCCACATTCAGATCACACTTCCTGAGCAGGGGGAGCAGCACGCGCCGAAGCCTCAGAGGGCAGGCTGTCTAGGCCAGTGGTTGGCAAACTCATTAGTCAACAGAGCCAAATGTCAAATTGAAATTTCTTTGGAGAGCCAAATTTTTTAAACTTCTTCTAAAGCCATTTCTTTAAAATAGACTCTCCCAGGCTGTGGTATTTTGTGGAAGAGCCACACTCAAGGGGCCAAAGAGCCGCATGTGGCTCGAGAGCCGCAGTTTGCCAACCATGGGTCTACCAGGGGTCCTCAAACTTTTTAAAGTGGGGGCCAGATCACGGTCCCTCAGAGAGCTGGAGGGCCGGACTATATGAACTACTAATTCCTACTGTAACACCTCGACTGCGCTCACTGCCCAAAAAACCTGGCGGACCGGATCAGACTCCTCTGCGGGCTGCATGTGGCCCTCGGGCCGTAGTTTGAAGACCCCTGGTAGGCCATTGTTACAGCTCAGAGTCGGGCCCAGAATAAACCCCCAGTTATGGTCATAGTCTTTGAATGCAGCGTTGCGCGCTCGCATGCTCTCGCGCGCTCTCTCTCTCTCTCTCTCTCTCTCTCTCTCTCTCTCCCTCCCTCCTGCAATGGACATTCACATTTCATCCCACCAAATCTCTGTGGCAACCTGTGAGCCGGGCAAAGTAGTTCCATTTCACAGAGACCCTGAGGCGGCAGTAACAGAGGTGACCAAGGTCGCACAGCTCGTGGGTCAGTGGTGCCGTCAGGATCCTCCGCCTTCTCCTTCCTCTGACTCGGAGGACAGAGGACAGTCTCTTTGCTGCTCCCGGAGAGCACTCCTGAGCAAAACCCACAGTGACCCGACAGGCTGGGGCACCAGGAGGCCCTCTCCTGTGAGATGCAGCCCCCAGGGCCCCTGAGGTCAAAGTCCCTGGAGCCTATCCTTCTGGGGGACCCTGTCCATCCTCAGCCTGGGGCCAACCTCCCACACCCAGCTTCTCCACAGCCTGGACCGGAGACCCCGGCTCCCTCGGCCCACCTCTGCCCACCTCTCCCTCCCCGGAATTCCTGGGCGCTGCATCTGGCTTCTGTCAGACGAGGCCTCTGCCTCACTCCCGGGGCGGCTCCCAGGGTCTGCAGCTGCGGAGCCGTGGGCCTGGGCAGAGGCCCTGCTGAGGCCCGCCAGCACACCCATGTCCAACACCCCTCGCTAGGCCCCTGCCTCCGCCACCAGACCCTTCAAATCGGCACATCTGGGGACAGGAAGGCCAGGGTGTCTTCCTTCGGAAAACTGACGTCTGGGAGGAGGACCCGTGTGTGATTGTGGGGTTGCGGGGACCAGGCGAGGATTGCTGTGTCTGGGGGCTGCTCAGGCCTGGCCTGTGGCCCTCAGCTCCACGTCTGGCCAACGGTCAGCCTGTTTTCAAGTGAAAAATGCTTCTTCCTTAGGGCGCCCGGCCTCAGGCCCCGGGGCGAACACCAAGCCCACTGCATAGATAGGAACACTGAGGCCTGCGGATGCTGGGGGTGGGGGTGGGGGGTGCTGAGGGCAGATCTGGCCGCCTATCCTCCCAGGGCCATCTGTCTTTCCCGGGAGAGGGGCCAGTCTGTCTGTCCTCCCACCCTCCTATCCTCAGTCCACTCAACCCCCAGCCCCTCTCAATACTCCCTGGCCTGTCCCCAGCGACCCCCTTCCAGGGAATGTGATGAAAGGTCTATTTATTATACTTTAGCTCGCACAGTTGTTTCAGATGTTTCCAATTCGTTAGCCTGCTCAGACATCTGTTCCTGGTTGAAGTCAGAAAGGAAAGAAGAAAGGACAACTCGATGCATTTCGCACACCATCAGTCCAATACATGGACTCGCACGTCCCTGACTCCCTCTCTCTCTCTCTCCCCCTCTCTCCCTTTCTCATTCTCTCTCTACCTCTCTCTCCCTCTTGCCCTCCCTCTCCAGCATGCCCCCCAACAGACCCTCACAATTCGCTCCTTCTCCTCACCCACACTCAGATCACACACTCCCAAGCTTGCCTTGGCTTCCACAAATGCTCAAACCCTAACGCAGGCACACCTCGTTTTATTGCGGGTCGTTGCTTTATCGCGTTTCACAGATGTTGCGTGTTTTACAAATAGAAGGCAAACTCACCAGCAGGAGGTTATAACTCGTCTTATTGCTATGCTTACCTGCTTTATTGTGGTGGTCAGGAACCGGCCCGCAATATCTCGGAGGTATGTTTATGCACCTAGCTGACACATGCAACCCAGCATGCACAGCGTCATGCCTACACACCTCCTTCTCTGTTCCCGTGTGGGGGCTCACACCCCTTCTCCAGGTCCTCCACTATCTGAACCGACAGGCCACAGGTGAGCCTGCCAGCATCCGAGGGTGGCCTGGAGACTAAGATGATCAGACGTCCCGCTTTTGGCGGGACAGTCCCTCCAAAAGCGGGACATTTGGTCACCTTACTGGAGACTGGGTTCCGGTCTAGATTCAGACCCTCTGAGTCCTGTACCTTGGTCTGGTTCGCTGAGCCTCAGTTCCCTTCTTTATCTCATGGGCTATTATGCTGGTTAACAGCTTGTGTGTAAGCACCTGGCTCAGCACCTGCCAGTTACTGTTACTATCCCACTTCCCCCGTCACATGCACACCCACATCCATATTTGCTCCTGCACTAAATACCTGGGCACAGGATGGGACTGAAAGATCTCTGGGTCCCTGGGAAACAAGGTTCTGTGACGTCCCGCTGCACGCCCCCCCCCCCCCCCCGTTAAAGATGTGCACAGCTGTACATGCACGTGTGCTCAGCAACCCAGTCCGACACACAGAAGCAGACAAAGGCACACACACTCAGAAACAAACCTCCTATTTCACACTTCCTAACACATGCATACCACCACCGTGCACACTCCTACTCACACTACCTTCTCTCAGCCTATTCACACATTCACACCCAGCTCCTCCCACTGCGGTACCCAGGGGGAGGGGCTGAGGCTGAGTGGGGAGGGTGCAGGTTGGTGGGGGTTCCTGGGACAAGGGCTGGACTTGCTGGGGTGGGCATGGAGGAGCTCAACCTCCCCCCAGCTTCTCCGGCCGAGCCTGGGGTGGGGAGGGCGGGAGATGATGAATACCTGATGCCTGGCAGTGCCCACCTCTCTCACCCCACCTCTGGGGGAACTCTTGAGCAGCTCTGAGCTTAAGGGGGGCTCTGGGTGGGGGTGGGGGAAGCAGCAGGGTCAGGGCGATGACTCCTCTGCCCAGAGCCCATGGGTTGGCACTTCTTCCCAGCCCCCGATCTAGGCCATGACCTTGGAAACAAGAGCCCCTTTCTCTGTCCTCTCGTCTCTCCCAGTTCCCACCAACCACAGGTGGCTTCCACCGAGGCTTTGTCAGACCAACCCAGGACCTCTCCTGTTTGGGGTGCTCCAGGCAGGCATAACGGCCCTCCACTGGGCTCCCACCCCCGGTGGAAGGCATGGTGGGGGCTGCTGTGGGCTGAAGAGCTCGGAGAACAGGGAGCCTGAGACTGGTGTCAGGGCCCAGTGTGCCACCTCTGCTTCCCCCGCTGGCCCTCCGGTGTCTGTACAATGACCATGTGTCTATGGGCCACAGCACTACTCCCCTCACTCAGTCCCCACAGCAGCTGGGAGGAGGGATCTTCCTTGTTAGATCTCAGCGATCCCGAGGCAGCTGGGGCACCCTTCCCTGTGTGTGCTGGGGGCCCTCAGTCAGAGCCCCGCTGCCACGGGGAACCCAATTCCCAGCTCCCCTCCCTCCTCCGCGCCAGCTCTGGGCTCTCAGGCAAACTGCGGCCTCCTCCTTCTCTCCTCTGTTCTAGAGTCAGAACAGACCTGAGCTCTCGCTGTTAACTTGCTCTGTGATTTGGGCAAAGGGTTTAACCGCTCAGAGTCTCAGTCTACTTCCCTGCAAAATGGGAGGTGCAGGCTTTGTGGTGAGAACCCACAGAGGTGGCCACAAGGGGCCTGGTGCCCGCGGACATCTTGGGGACTCTGCTGCAGCCAGGTGGCTTGTCCCTACCCCAGGGCAGATGATCCACAGACACACACGTCACAATGAACAGACTCCGGCTCATCCTAGGACTTCCTGCCTGGCTCCTGGACCTGCCCCATCAGTTTCTGAATCAGAACGCTGGAAGTGGTGAAACCTTCCCTGTGGCGGGGCTTTTGATCACAAGCAGGGAGAGTGTCCAGCAAGCACACTAAATGCCATGCCAACCTGAAGAGTGATTTATTTGAACCTGCTTTGTGCTCGGGCCCTTTCGAGGAGCTAAGAGATCCAGCTGCCTGCCTTCTGAGACTCAGGGTCTGGCCAGGACCGTGGTCGGCAAACTGGGGCTCTTGAGCCACATGCGGCTCTTTGGCCCCTTGAGAGTGGCTCTTCCACAAAATACCACGGCCTGGGCGAGTCTATGTCGAAGAAGTGGCGTTAGAAGAAATTTAAGTTTAAAAAATGTGGCTCTCAAAAGAAATCTCAATCGTTGTACTGTTGATATTTGGCTCTGTTGACTGAGCTTGCCGACCACTGGGCCAGGAGAATGGACACTCGCTCAGGAGCCTGCTCCAC